AAAAAAAAAAAAATCTTTGAGAGCACATGCAGACATGGCCCATTTTGCCCTTTGCTGCTTTTGAACCCCATAACATTATCTGACTTTGTGATAACACTTTGAATTAGGTACAGTTCTGGTGCTGTCTTCATCATCCCAAAGATATATTATACTTGTTTTGGTCCCTTGCTTTGGTTTGTTCTTATATGGTAAGTTGTGTCTGATATTTATCGTGTGTCGTCTGTGCATGGCGTATATAGGGCCACGTAACTAACCGGGACTAAACTCAGAAAAGCTCTTTTTTGCAAAGACAATCGACAGGAAGCTCGTTTTTTCTCGTCTAGTTTGATTTTTCCCGGTCGAAGTTTTGATGAATTAGAGTAGAGTGTATTGAAGACATGATTGTTTTTTTTCAGACATCATGGCCTGAACAAAAATTTAACCCAAAATGGCCCCTTATTTACTCTTGTTTCTTGATTGTGGTACAGAGCTGGTCCATCTTCTGCTGGCCAGTATATAGCCATTAACTAACCAGCACTGCCAGTCCAGGCTACTCTTCATCATCTTGCTTCATTTAATTCTTTATTTTTCTATAATTTTATTTAAAAAAAAAAAGTAGAATGTGAGCCCATAATTTGCCCCTCTCTTTCTTCAACAGGATGACCTCCAAAATTTTATGAATTGGACAATGTCAATGATTTAACATAATGTTTGGCCATCGATTTTTGCACCAAAGATGAAGTTCCTATGCGGCGAAAACTGTAAACGATTCAGTACACAGTACGGCGTGAGCAGAATAGTCGATTTTTTCCATTAGTAAGTAGAGGAAAATTACATCACTGCATTTTCACTAGTTACAACTTGCAAACCACAAAAATCACAAGTTCGAAAAAGCGCAGGGAAAAAAACACGAAAAGGGGCTCAGTCCCGGATGAATTTACAAAAAAAGAGATTTTTTCCCTCGCGACAAAAAATTTCAAAATAGTTCCCTAGTTAGCCTTTTCAAATAGCAACTTCCAAAACACCTAAAGATGAATCTATATATATATATATATAAATATTATGCAGCAAATCCATTTTTCTTTTTGATATCATATTTTTGAGGACAGCCCAACTGCTCGGTCTCCCAGCTCAGTTTCGAAGCAACTCTCTCGTGACGAGGGACATATTCCTGCGAACGAGCAGCAAAAGGGAGAGTTAAGCAAAACTCAAATTCTTCCCAAATTAGTTTTGAAGTGGCAATTGAGGCAATTTTTTCTACCTCCAATTTCTTGACGAGCTCCTTTGCAGTTGGTGCTGATACGATTATGTGGCGAGCATTTGGGCTGATGAACCCTTCCTCCACGGCTTTGTCAATAAACGACAACAACGAGTCATAATACTCGTCAACATTCAACAATCCCACCTGCCAAAAAATGCCATCAGCTCTCATAATTTTTATGTAAAGCCAAAAAAAATAAAACTTCAATATTTCAGATACAAATATTACAACTTGTTTCGTTCCAAGATCAAGAACAACATACGTACCGGCTTATCATGGATACCAAGCTGAGCCCAAGTTATGACTTCAAGTAATTCCTCTAGAGTTCCATAACCACCTATACAAAATAATCGAAAACGAAAATTAATACACGTTTTATTCGAGCCAATTTGCACCAAAAAACAAATTAAAGAACTAATATGTGATTCAACCATAAAAAAAAAAAAACCCTCAAAAGAACAGTTTTTACCACAATTTTAAATAAATGAGACAAATTATTACAAAGAATCAGCTACTATAAGATTTTTTTTTTTTTGCAAGGCTACTCCCTAATATTTAGTGCAAATAGATGATAATAATGGGGTCAAAAAAGAAATTAAGGGGACCTCTAAAGAGGGCACTTGTATTATGAAGGGTCATTGGGGATTGTGACCAAAAGTATCAGACTGTTGTTGCTTTCTCAGTACTACGGTTTGCTATAAATAGTGCTAACTTATACTGAATCAACAAAAGGCAAAAAAAAGAGAGAAAACTTTTCATTTTCTTGCATTTAAGAATGTAATGGACTCAGCAATATAATGAGAAAAAAATCTCCATAGCATCAGAAAAATTAAACCGTGGATCGAACATGATGTTCTAGGGATTGCTCACTCTCGTAATATTGTAGTCTAAGGCTCTCGCCTCGTCTTTGTACCAAAAAAAAAAAATGAGAAAAAGTAGCAATTTTTTTCTTTCTCAGCTCTCAGGTCATAGTGTTCATAAAAAAAGGCCAAGTGTTGAGGCAAATTTTGGAAAGCGGCCATTAAAACAAAACCTGGTAAGGCTATAAAAGCATCTGAGTGCCTTGCCATCTCAGCTTTCCTTTGGTGCATATCTGCAACTGCTTTCACCTCCCCTACTGTTTCACCAGTTAACTGCCCCAAAAAAACAATAATAATAGGGCAATGCTATATGTACACCCCCTTTTAATAAATTACACAAAGAAAAGTGCTATATGTACACCCCTTTTTTACACTTGAGGGGGTGTACATATAGACACCCCTAATAATAATAATAATAATAATAATAATAATAATAATAATAAGAAGAAGAAAAATAAGAAGATGAAGAAGTAGACATTAAAAAAAAAAGGTGCAAAAGAGGATAACCCTATGGAGATGCTACGGTCCCGTTACGGAATCATTCCGTCGGTATTTGTAACCTTTAATCAATTATCCATGACGGTTACATGATGATCTACCGGTTACAAACCTCGACTGAATGGTTCCGTAACGGGGACCGTAGCATTTCCATAAACTTAAAAGCAAAAAATCTTCAAAGCCAGTGAGAAAGAAAATAAATAAACTTGAATAGTGTTTGTTAAACAAAAAAATATGGAAAGAATTAATTGCAGAAAAGGCCAAGAGAGAAAAATACAAGAAAATAGTGCTGTAGTAGCAGATGCAGATGCAGATGCAGAGGCACAAAAGTAAAGAGGAGAGGTGAATGGAACTGAAAAAAGGGGCAAAATCAGAGCAAACATTTTTCAGACCAAAAAAACTCAAACATTTTTTTTTTTTTTTTTGTACTGAAATGAAATGACCACCACCACCTCATATATGTTCTTTATCTTGTGGATAAGGTCAATTATGCATAAAAAGGACCAAACAAGAAACAATGAAAATTCCATTTTTATGGATTCAAATACCACAAACCCATAACATAAAATTTAAAAAAAGTACAAAAGAAAGAAAAAAAACAGCTCAAATACTTTGTTTCAACAAATCAGGCTAAAAAAAGTTTGAATTTTTTGAGAAGGGGTAAAGAATTTGCTACATGTAAAGGCCTACAAAATGAGTGAGGAGAAAAAGAGAAGCAAAAGACATGACATTTGAATTGTAAAAGGGGCAAAGGCAGGCAAAGCAAACCAAACAGCCTAAGAATATACCTTAAAACAAGAATAAAACTACTGCAAATGACACAATGAGCAAGAAAAATTAAAAAGTACTATAGAGAAAAAGAAAAGAGTTAAACAATTTCTTGGTGGGGTTTTCAATTTCTTCAAGAATATAAGTAGTAAAAAATAAAAGAAAAGAAAATAAAGGGCCATGACTTTTGAAACACAACAGCATTTACCTCTCTAGGCATGAGTGTCTTGGGGATCACCCTGCAAATAATACATGACAAAAGAGAGAAAAAAAAAACAACTTTATAAAAAAAAAATAAAAATAAAAGGGGCTTCAATGAACCATTCACAACATTTAAAACTTGTACTAATCATTTAAAGTTGCTTTTTTTATTTTATTTTTTTTTAATTAAAAGAATTAAAAGAAAACTCACTCACCCTATAACATGCCGACCGCCATCATGAACAGCTTGAGAAACTAAGCCCATCAAGCCTATGCTACCTCCTCCATAGACCAAATCAATGTTTTTTGAAACCTTTATTAAACACACAAAACAAAACCCTATCATCATTCATTACACTGAAACTAAATTTATTACAACAGTAAGGTGTTTCCCAAGTGGGCAGATGGATGGGTTTCAACTTTTTTTGCCCCCATTTTTTAACCTTTGATAACAAAATAAACCATAGTAAAACAGAGATACTTGCAGCAAAATAGTACTTTATAGCTTCCAATGATTCAAATTTTTTTAAAAAAAAAGGAAAGGCCTTTTCAGTTCATAAGTAAGCACGTAGAGTGAAGAAAAAAAGGAAAAATTTGCAATCTTTTTTGTTCCTAATGCGAGAGAGAGAGAGAGAGAGAGAGAGAGAGAGAGAGAGAGAGAGAGAGAGAGATGCAATACTCTGCTTTTGAACTTTACTGGAAAACAGAGCACTTGCATGTGAATGAAAAGGGAATGTACAGAATCAAACAAAATATTCAATCAATCGACCAAACAAGGGTTAAAAAAATCGAACCAAAGAGTCAAAAAAAAGATGCAAAGACAAGATTTTTATACAAACCCATTTGATAACCTGCACGTTTATCAACTGCCCAACACGAAAAGAGAACCAAAAAGGTCAGAAAAACACTAAAAACACACATATGCTTACATACACTCTGATGAAAAAGAAAACCCAAGAAAGTAGAGCTCATAAAGCCCATCATATAAAGATGAGAAGAAGAAAAAAAAAGGAGAAAAAAATGATTGATTTACCAAAACTTTGCCCAGCTCAATTGCAGCTTCTTGATAGCTAGTTTTTTTGCCCTGACTGCTCCCACAAAAAACACAAATCCTCTTGAATTTTGAAGCTCTCACTTCATTATCTCTCTCCATTTTCTCTCTCTCTCTCTCTCTCTCTCTCCTTTCTCACTCTCTCTCCTCTTTGCTCACTCACTGCCCTTCTTTTGTTATATATTTTGTCCTTTTTTTTCCCTAATGTTGGTCACAACTTGGAATAAAAGAGGAATCTTGTTTCAAACTGCGTACACCTACCTATTTTGTATTGTGGGCATATGAAAGGACTAAAGAGAAAATGAAAATTGTACCAAAAAAAAAAAGAGAAAATGAAAAATATATATATATATATATATAAACAAAAATGTGTATATATATATATTTTCTGTCCAGAAAGATGAGGAAAATAAGAGAGAAATTGTGTAAAAGGATTACAAGTCCTAATAAGCCATTAAAAATTGGAAGACTTTTTCTTGCTTAAGCTTGATCTTGCCTCTTGGCCAATAACATAGGGAGGGGGTTTCATTTTATAAGGGTTTTGGCACGTGCCAAAAGTGCTGCTGCCCAATAACCTAGCCTGACTGCCACGTGTGGATCACTTCATTTATGTGGTAACAATTTTTGAAAACTTATTTAAATATATGCATTAATTAATTGTATTTATATACATTTTTTCAAATAAGATCAAATTAGATATGACAAAAAAATTGTTTCTTTTAAATAATTTTTTAATATCTGCAATAATTTCATTGATATCCATTACAATAAATTACATGATTGACTATCCGTGATTCATGTTGATAATATGTTGGTCTCGATAAATATTACAACATATATTAAGTTCTAACTATAATATTAATTTTTTTCAAAAAATATTCACTTTTTATCTAAAAATATTTATAGAAAACCGTAACAGGTTAGGTAGTATTTTTTTCTTCCAATTAATCAGACGAATTCAAGTGTGTGAATTAATCTTTGTCAATATACTTTTTTCTTAAGCTTTATTTCTTATATATAAAAATATATTATTCATCAAATTAATATAATTTACCATTTAAGAGATAATAATATATATATTAAATAGTTTTACTAATGGTAAAAAATTAAAATTAAAATTAAAATATATTAACTGTACAAGAATCTATTTGTATATTATTGGCAACCATGTTTTTTTATCATTTTTTTTATTTTAATTTCTTTCTATAATTTAATTCTTGTAAAATATATTTTCATTGCAGAGTATGCTAAACGAACTATAAATCCTTATAATGCAAATTAGAAAAACTTAGATTATAGAATGGATTGAGATTTTGGCATTTGCTAAATCAAAGTTGTTTAATTACTGTACAAAATTAAATGGTAAAAACACATGTGTGCATATTTTGTAAAATATTTATACACTATTTAATTTAAATTTATTTATATGTTTAAATTGATTACACAAATAAATAATATTAACGTGCATTAAATATTTTTTCAGGAAAAAGAAGACGTACAACTTCTATAACTTTTATAAATAAGAATGACATTATATGACAACAAAGTTTATAATGAAATAATAATTATGTATTACATAGTGAACAATCATAGGTAACACTGTTGTTTTCTCTTATATAAAGGAATATATATACACTAAAACCAAATTTATATTAGTATAAATGTGTTTGTGAGATAATATATTAATCATTTTACAAGCTAGCCCTAATATTCTCATATTTAATGTTCTGACAAAAAAATGTTGATTAAAAGATGTGAAAAATAGATTATAACCCTATTATTTTTTAGACTGAATGTTGATTAAAAGAAGTGAAAAATATATAATAAACATATTGTTTTTTACACTTAAACAGACAGAGCCTGTGAAAGTAACTATGAGTCATTTTCGAAATTGCATAGTTAATAAGGAAGAGAAATGCTCACCTACCCACGGTAGGAAACATATTAATATGCTCACCACTTATGTGGCATGCACTCATTGGTGATGTATTTTTTTAAACATATTAACATCTCCAATGTGTGCATGCCACATAAGCGGTGGGCATATTACACGTGCCCACCGTGGATAGGGGAGCATATTTTTAAACATATTAACAAATTTTATAGGGACATTTCATATTTTTTTTGTGTGTATTATTAAACTATTACAACACCAATAGATAAGGTATATACCTAAAGTTATAAAAATACAATATAATAGTATATGTTTTAAGAGTAAAAAATGCAATTTTAGTCTCGTATGTTTCACTACTCTAACTTTTTTGTCCTCTTTGAATTGCTTGCAAAAAAATGTTACAAAAATGTCATTTGCGTAACAAAAATGTCCTTTATATTTTGCAAAAAAATGCCTAATTTCGTTCCTTATGTACTAAAGGACCTTTTTATAACCTTTTTGCAAACACACGAGACGAAAATAAAAAACACAGACAAAAAAAATTAGGGTAGTGAAACATACATGACTACAATTGTAATTTACTCAATTTTTAAATTAGTAATAAATGCTGCTATCAGGGGTAACAGAGTAACACTGTGTTCACAGTCTATTATATATATATATATACATATATATATAATTGTACTATACGATGTCATATTTTTATTTAAATTATATTTTAAGATACCACACATTTGAGATTTAAAGTAACTTGTTTCAAGATTAGTTCCACAAATTCCATAAATTAAAAATAATCAGGACAACACAATGAATAATAATCTCATTTCCCATATATGGGCTTTATCATAATAAAAACATTGGGATTGTCACTAAAACTTCTGCCCCAACTTCAAAAGATGACCACCTTTATTTTATCTTGCTATATATATTAAAGAAACAATACAACATGGGCATATTGTGCATGCGCAATAAGTTGCACAACAAATTTTACTATAATAGGCAATCAATTATGGTCCTTCAAATTAAAATATTAAAATGTAATTTTTTTTTTCGAAACGATAGCGATATTATATAAATCACAGAAATGTAAAAAAGTGCAGCCACCAGCTGAATATAACCAGCCAACAGCTGAATAGAGTGGGAGGACAGTCAATAACTGCCTAAAGCCGACCCCAACGGGGCAATACAAACGAACAATAAAACACTAACACACGACAACACTAAAAAACTAAAAAATTAAAAGGACCCCAACAGGGTAATATTCGAGTGTCTGCTCCTAACAGGAGAGTAAGTTGACACCCAGGCTCAAAACAACAAAACAAACACACAACAAAATAACACACTAAACCACTAAACTAACAACAAAACAAACAACATAAACAAAACGGCCCTTCCTGAACAGTATCACCTAGCCGAACCAACGGAAACAAGTCGACCACGTATCCCGTAGCCAGAATGTCGACCCCGAAACTGCCTAAACCACTCGGTTGCCTATCGGAGACGAAATCCCGACCCAGAACCGCAGCATGCCAACCCGCACTACGACCACAACACCAAATTTCCCCGAACGGACAATAGAGTGCCACGGCCCCGGTCCCGACCCCAAATCGCCTGGAAAGTGCCCAAAATCACCATACCCTGCAGCACCACCACTCCGAAGGACTCCACGGAGAGAAGAATTGGTGCGACGGCCTCGTGCAATCTGCAATCAGAGGACCGAGGGGTGACCTTGAGCAACAGCAACGTCTCGTCGCTCAGCCACAAGTCGCCGAGCAATTGAACCGTGTCCCACCCAAGGAACGGCATCACGGCTCCACTACCGCACACCAGAGAACCCACTCGCTTGAAATCACGAACCAACGCCAGAAAATGGAGACCATCCCAACAGACAAGGGCTTCCGCTAATGAAATCGGAGAAAGGAGCAGAAAAGGGGGGGGGGATCCAAGCGGCTAAGGGCCATCGACCGTCGGCGAAGCTCGATGGCCGCTGAAGAAGGCGGACAGCTTCAAATCGGAAGAGAGACGATGACGATTGGGTGAGGTTTGTTTCGGGAAGAGATAAGGGTTAAAATGCAGTTTTAACCTTAGAGCAATAATAATAATAATAATAATAATAATAATAATAATAATAATAATAATAGAACAACTATTTTATTTATTTATTTTTTAATAATTAATATTCTCTTGTATTTCATCTATTTATTAATTTTATTTTATTTTTTCTTGATGATTGGATCAACATGTGGGTAATGCCTGGTTAGGAGCTTGTACCCTTCACAAGGCTCAATTTGGAGACAAGGCTGTTTATTGCATAGGAAACATCATATTATATTAGTTTAAAGGCCCCAATAACACTTCAACAAGCATGCTGTCCCAATACCTTATCCTTTCATTAATCTTACTGTCTTCATGTTTTATTTTATTTTATTTTTTCTAAGTTATTTAATTTAATTTATACCAGAATTTTACCTCAAAGTTTGATTGTATTGAGCTTAGTGCCTAAGGATGTCCAGTGGGTTTGTCTTTCTATTCAAGTATGTTGAAAATGTACTTGGAAAGTTAAAATTTTGTTGTGCAAGAACAATTTTCAGCTGAAATCACAAATAATTAAACCATAGTTTTGGCCAATTTTGCCAAAATTAATGTGAAATTACCAGAGAATCACGAGAAATTGGAGCACAAATATTCTACAACCAGACCATTTTCTTCTCACTGTTCATTCGTGCACATAATAATGCAAATCAGATTGGGCATTTAATATGCTCATGCAAAGTAAACGACACCTCGTTTAGATCGTGATTTTTGACAGGATTTTGTCCGTTTTCTAATAGTTTGTTTTAATTGTTTTGTTTTTTCGTTTAAGTTTAATTCAAACTATAGAAATTAAATTTAATATATTTTATTAATATTGACTTTATTTATGTTTTGGCATAAATTTAAGATAAATAAGATATTTATTGATAAGATCAAAACTTTCTTATTCATCAAGTCGATCCTTGGGGTTGTTCAAGTCGAGCATATTAAATCTTGAATAAACAAATTGCATCGTTCATCAAATAAATTGGGTAAAGGTCTCTCTCCAATGCATAAACTCTCCTAAAGCCAAAAAAAAAAAAATATATATATATATACAACTCATAAGTTCAAGTTTCAAGTTCACGGAGCTCTTTAGGAAACTTCGAGACCTTCTTTTTTCATTTGAAGGCAT